GGCGGTGGGGAAGAGACAGAAATCTTTAATTAATTAATAAAGAAATAAATTAATTAATTAAAAAAGTATGAACCTGTATATGACAGTAAAAAAATGAAAAAATAAAAAATAAAAATACGTGCCATGCCATGCTATAGACTTTGTGTTATCCACAACCATGCTTAACTCAGACTCAACGTGGAGGGGGCATCTTGAATAACACCCCTTCAAAAACTTCCTGACATCATATCTCAGAGAGTTTCTGCTTGAACTTTTAGTCCCCTGGAAGCTACAAACATATAAATATTCTGAAACTCCTTCTATGCAATGTAATAAACTATTCGTAGCATTTCACATCTCAAGGATCATATAAATTTGATAGAATACTCTTAGTTCTGCCAAGAAACACCCAGCAGATGTTGCCACTCTAATACTGTGCTTCCATCTTTGATTTTTTTCCATAGGGAAACATGGCCCTTCAGTCATGGATTCTGACTTACTTGTGCCTGCTCTCCTCCGGAACTGGTGAGTTCTTCTTCAGAGCAAATTATTCCAGAAGCTATCCCTGTGATGAGAAAATGGAAAATGCCTCTGTGATTGCAGAATGCAATGATCGCCGACTACAAGAAGTTCCCCAAACTATAGGCCAATATGTGACAGAAATAAACTTGTCTGACAATTCCATCATGCATGTAACAAACGAGTCCTTTCGAGAGCTGCGAAACCTCATTAAAATAAATCTGAACCACAATGCCAATCAAGCACACCCAAATGAAAATAAAACTGGTATGAATATTACAGATGGAGCATTCCTCAACCTCAAAAATCTGAAGGTGTTACTGCTTGAAGACAACCAATTATGTGCTATGCCAACTGGCTTGCCTGAGTCTTTGAGAGAACTTAGCCTAATTCAAAACAATATAAGTACGGTAACTAAAAACAACACTCTGGGGCTTCGGAACATGGAGAGACTCTATTTGGGCTGGAACTGCAATTTTTCTTGTAAGCAAAACTTTAGCGTGGAAGATGGGGCATTTCAAAACCTTATAAACTTGAAGGTGCTCTCCTTGTCTTTCAACAGGCTTTTCCACGTGCCTCCCAAACTACCAAGCTCCCTAAGAAAACTTTTCCTGAGCAATGCCAAGATTATGACTATCACGCAGGAAGACTTTAAGGGACTGGAACACTTAACATTACTAGATCTGAGTGGCAACTGTCCGAGGTGTTACAATGCCCCTTTTCAATGCACGCCTTGTGAAAAAAACTTGTCCCTCACCATACATCCCCTGGCTTTTCAAGGTCTCACCAAACTTCAATATCTAAACCTCTCCAGCACTTCCCTCCAGTCCATTACTTCCACCTGGTTTGACAATCTAACAAATCTGAAGGAACTCCATCTTGAATTCAACTATTTACTACAAGAAATTGCTTCAGGGGAATTTTTAACGAAACTACCCAATTTACAAATCCTTGATCTGTCGTTCAACTTTCAAGAAAGCAAATATTTACCATCTATTAATATTTCCTCAAACTTCTCTAAGCTTCATTCTCTCAAGAGATTGCACTTAAAGGGCTATGTATTTTACAAACTTGAACAGAAAAATTTTGCACCCCTTCAGAGTCTTCGAAACTTAACAACTATCGACTTGGGCATTAACTTTATTACGAAAATTGATTTTAAAATTTTCCAAGATTTCCCCCTTCTGAAAGTTATTTCCTTGTCAGAGAACCGTATAACACCCACAATAGATCACACAAACAACCCCTCTTTGCCATATCATCTCCTTAAATCCGGCTCAACCGTCACCAAGTTTGATCCCCACGCGAATTTTTATCACAGCACCAAACCTTTAATAAAGCCACAGTGTGCTGCTTATGGCAAAGCCTTGGATTTAAGTTTAAACAATATTTTCCTTATTGAGAAAAATCAATTTGAGCCTTTTCAGGACATTGACTGCTTAAATCTGTCCTTCAATGCTAACAATCAAGTGTTGAGTGGCACAGAATTCTCAGCCATGCCCCACCTCAAATATTTGGATTTATCTCACAACAGACTAGACTTTGATGACAACAATGCTTTCAGTGAACTTCAAGAACTGGAAGTGCTCGACCTGAGTCACAATGAACACTATTTCAGTATAGCAGGGGTAACACACCGCCTAGGATTTATCCAGAACCTAATGAACCTCAGTGTGCTAAACCTGAGCTACAATGGCATTTACACGCTCACAGAGGACAAAGAGCTGAAAAGCATGTCTCTGAAAGAATTGGTTTTCAGCGGAAACCGCCTTGACCTTTTGTGGAACGCAGACGACAACAGTTACTTGACCATTTTCAGAAATCTCAGGAATCTGACACACCTAGACTTATCTTACAATAACCTTCAACAAATCCCCAATAAAGCATTCCTCAGCTTGCCCCAGAGCCTCGAAGAGCTGCGAATCAATGGGAACAGGTTACGTTTTTTTAATTGGACCTCCCTCCAGTATTTTCCTCGGCTCCGTTTACTGGACTTACGGAGAAACAAGCTGTATTTTCTAACCAATTGCCTATCTAAGTTTACATATTCCCTGGAAACATTGCTGCTGGGCCATAATGAATTCTCTCACCTGCCTCCTGGCTTTCTCTCTGAAGCCAGTAGTCTGGTCCACCTGGATCTAAGTTTCAACATGATAAAGATGATCAATAAGTCCTCCCTGCAAACCAAGACTGAAACACATTTGTCTGTTCTGGAACTAAGTGGGAACCATTTTGACTGCACATGCGACTCAGGTGATTTTCGAAGCTGGATAGATGAAAACATGAACATCACAATTCCTCGACTAGTAGATGTTATTTGCACCAGTCCTGGGGATCAAAAGGGGAAGAGCATCATGAGTCTAGAGCTCATGATGTGTCTTTCAGATACCACTGCAGTGATCCTGTTTTCCCTCACATTCCTCATCACCGCCACGGTTATGTTGGCCACCCTGGGTCACCATCTGTTTTACTGGGATATGTGGTTTATCTATCACATGTGTTCAGCTAAGTTAAGAGGCTACAGGTCCTTGGCCACAACCCGAACTTTCTACGATGCTTACATTTCTTACGACACCAAAGATGTGTCTGTTACCGACTGGGTCATCAATGAACTGCGCTACCACCTTGAAGAGAGTGAAGGCAAAAATGTCCTCCTCTGCTTAGAGGAAAGGGATTGGGATCCAGGGTTAGCCATCATCGATAACCTCGTGCAGAGCATAAACCAGAGCAAGAAGACAATCTTCGTGTTAACCAAAAAATATGCCAAGAGCTGGAACTTTAAAACAGCTTTTTACTTGGCCTTGCAGAGGCTAATGGATGAGAACATGGACGTGATTATCTTCATCCTCCTGGAACCCGTCTTGCAGTATTCCCAGTACCTGAGGCTGCGGCGGAGAATCTGTAAGAGTTCCATCCTCCAGTGGCCTGACAACCCCAAAGCAGAAAACTTGTTTTGGCAAAGTCTGAAAAACGTGGTCTTGACTGAAAACGATTCACGGTATGACAATTTCTACACTGAATCCATTAAGCAATATTGATACCGGGAAGTCATGACTCCGCGCCATCCTAAAAACACATAGCTTCTCTTTGCCAAGGACTGTGGTGAGTGCAGAAACTCAGGGCTGCTCAAGGTGCTGCTCGTCGCTAAACAGGAGACTTGCATCAGCCCCTCTAAGGCTCAGGTAACTTTGTGGAAGAGGCGGTCGAAAGAATGTATGAGCTGGAAGACGTGGAGAAGGGCTGAGGATGCTCTCTTGTGGGCATGACACAGCCACTGTGATCATGATCTCATAGCAACTATGGTTGCCTGCAGGGGTCTGCACAGAAGTACTGACTGTGAAAAAGACCCTTGTTGGGAGGAGGGTAGGTTAGCCACAGTGGGAGGGAGAGAGGAAAAGGTGGACATGTGAGTAACTATAATGCATGGGTCTCCTTCAGAGACTTGCCTGTGGGATCCACTCCCAAGTTCACACCCATGCAATTGTCCTCAAGATTCAGTTTCTCCTGTGTGTTAGCCAAAGACTGCTCTCAGCTGCCTGCTCTGTGGACCTCTCTCCCAAGGCTTCATCAAAGTCAACAAGAGGGGACACAGAGGTCTACAAGAGTCAGCCTTTTGGAAGTTAATCGGGTAATTGATAGCCCGCCACTGCAGCTGTATTCTATTTGATCGAAGTCAACCACAGCTACTACCAGCTTCAGGCACCAAATTCCTCAGGTCTGGGGAAAGCTACTGAAAACCAGAATAACAGAGCTAGGAACATCTCGGCTAAGAGAAAATAGTCTGACCAAGATGAGCGATTGTCTGAGTCAGTCATTAACCATTTCCTTGGACTGAAATTCAGGGACAGTCTGCCATCTTTGTCACAGATCATCAATGTCAGAGGGTTAGATCACATGGGCAATCAGCAGGCAGCCTATTTTACCTACATTTCAATTCCTAAGAACATTTGACATTAAGATGCTGGTGAAATTGATGCTATAGATATGGCTATAGAGTTATGTTACATTGTGATTGCATTAATCTTTCTTTTACAATGACTTTTTAAAATATTTTTGAGATTATAATTCCAACATTTCCTGCTTCTCCTTTCTCCCTCCAAACCCTCTCAGGCATTCCCTCCAACTTTTACAAATGCTGTCTATGATATTTACTTTTAAGGTTTAGATGAAATTTAAAAACTGAAAAATGACAGTTTTTTTTAAATTCCTTTTATTGTTTTTTTAACAATTTTAAAAGCATCCATTTAAATGAAAAGCTCTTGGAGTGTTTGTTAATTCCCATTTGGTGAACATCTTAAAATGAATGATTAAAATTTCTGCATTTTACAAATGTGTGATAAATCTATAGCAGGAAATTAGAATTGTAATATAAAAGTTATCATCTGCATTGATTATTATTTCTTTTTTGAAAAATCTTCTGGAAAATCAAAAGGCATGCAGGTTTCATATGAAGATTATTACAGGAATTAATTCTATCTTATTTCAGTATCAGAAGAAAAAATCCAAATATCTATTGGTATCTTTTATTAATTCTCCCGAAGAGAACAAGTTTGACACTTCTCGCTGCATCTAAATGTGTCTTGCTTCTTTTGGTCAGTTTATCGCATCCTCTGTCTTTTATCAACATGAAACATGTCATGAAATTTATATGAGAACAACTGGAGATTATGCAAATATAAGAACATGGGGCCTGAGAAGATAGCTCCCTTGGTAAAGTGCTTGCTTCATGAGGAGTCCTCATAACACTAGTTAAAAAAAAAAACAGATGTGGTAGAGTGTGCTTATAGTCTCAGGCCTGGGGGAGTAGAAAGAGGGCTTGATGGCCAACCAGCCTATTGCAATCAAGGGAGCCCTAGGTCTCAGTGAGTGACCCCACCTCAAAATGTCAAGGTAGATGATTCCCCAGGAGAACGATGCCAATGTTATCTCCACATACATTAACAAATTCAGCTACACTCTGGTGGGGGAAAGAGAGAGAGAGAGAGAGAGAGAGAGAGAGAGAGAGAGAGAGAGAGAGAGAGAGAGAGAGAGGAGAATCCCTCTAAATGTAAAGAAGAATCTTCAACGCACCATCTTGCCTTCAGTACAGTTTACATTAGCCTTGTTAAGTGCAGCTTCGGTTAACCTTAACCTTGCAGGATAGAATATTCTAAAATACGCATTTCTAAGAACTTCACCAAAATAGTATGTCAAAACATTATTGGATATGGGCAAAAAGAAATTAGAACAAGTTGGCCAACGACAATTTAACTTTGTAACATCGGACCTGTTTTGTGACTGTGACACATTTGTAGAAACCAGTGAGGCATAGGGACAAATATCTAAAAGAACAAGATCATTCTACCAAGCTGACACCCAGCAAAGAGTGGGGAGGGCAGTCAGAGATTCTCTTTTGTCTTGGTCGCTTTGGGCTGTGGTCTTGTGGTACAAAGCAGCACAGATTGACTGGCTTACAGATGACTGGAACGGGTTTCCAGCAGTTGTGCGGATCTCAAATATGAGATGAAGGCCCCTGCTTGACTGGGTTGTGGTTAGGATTCTCTTCTGTATTGCTGACTGCTTCTTAACATGCTCATTACAGTGAGAGTGCTCACTGGGGGCGCTTTACACAGTAGCCCAAGGGCTTCACTGCCTAATAACTTTCCAAAGGCTTCCCTTCCTAGCAACCATACTAGTGGGGTTAGGCTTTCAAGAGGTGAAGTCAAGTTAGCACAAGCAAGTCAGTCTATAGTATCCCTGTTTTCATGGCTTTAACTTCATGACTGAAAAAGTCTTTTCTTGTAGTCCCGAATAGTTTTGATAAAAAATTAACTAGACATTGTTCCAGTAGTGTTACTGTTATGTTTGAATGGAAATGTCCCCCACGGACCCGTGTGCTCAAACTGTTGGTCCTCAGCCAGTGGTGTTGTGGAACCTTCTGGACATGAGGCCTAAATAATAAACATCGAATTATGTGGGTGGGCATTATGGCTTACAGTCTGACACAGTTACAGCTCAGGTTCTCTAACTACTAGTAGGTTTCCTGACTACTAACATGGGGTGACTAGTTGCCTCATGCCCCAGCTGAAATCCCTCCCACTGCAATGTCTTCTCTCATCAAGACAGACTGTTATTGCCTCAAACTATGTACCACGGTAAGTCCTTCTTCCCTTAAACGACTGTGGGGACCCACAGATGTGAGCCTGTTCTGCCTTGACTTGAGGTCAGAGAGTTTGAGCTTCTTTCAGCTCTCTCAAAGTTGTTGACAACAGGTGTAGCTACAAATCCTGGATTAGGGTGTAGATACTTGGTGTTTTAGACATTAAGATGGCCCATAGGGGTGACTCCGCTCCACCTTGACCAAAGGGTAGGGAATTCAAGCCTATTCCTGCTCCTTCATTTTAAAATAGGGGTTTGACATAGGGAGTGGCTGCCTACAGGATTCTTGGTCTGGGGTTTATCTATTATATATCCTGCCCAAAACATCCACTGCTTTAATCAGGAAACAATGACTTGATGTCTCAAGTACTGAAGCAAGAACTGTTCTGGTCGTCCTTTGTGTCATGTTAAAGCAGTCTTTTGCCTTCTTCCCCCACTTCTGTATTGGGGTATAGAAGTGTATGGAAAATAAATGCATGTGGATTCAGTATTCAGTATATACTAAGTATACAGTATCCTGTGTCTCTGTATTTCTTTCCTATCTCTTTTCCTTCTACCTAATGGTTCTAATACACACACCCTTACCCTGGAACGGACAAACCTGCCATGGCTGGATGGCAACAGAAGCCACCCCAAAATGTGACTTATGACAAGTTACTTCTTTATGGGCTTTTCCTCACAGAGATGAGAAATGAAACCAATGCAGGAAGTCGGGAAGGATCTATATGAAACACAAGCTCTTTGGGAGAAGTTTGTTGACAGAATCAAGAGTTAAGGAAAGGGACAAACAGTTTGACTTTCTCCTTAGCCAGTGTTCTTAGGGGAGAAAGTGAATTCATCACTCAAGTTTCTGGTATGAGAAATTCAGACTTGACATTTGTTGATGAAAAACTTACCATTGCTCTTATTTTTATTATTAACTTAAAAGCATATATGCTAGTGTTTACAAATGGGTTTTAAATTTTCAAATGTTAAAATGGAAGATACACAATGAATCATAAATCTTTACACATCCCACTTTTTCCTTCCCAAGAAATCTCTCTGTATTATAAGAAATCATAAAGGTTAGGTTGTTATAGTAGAGAGATTCAATAAATACTTTTCTTTCTCTGTACCAATATATTAGTTACTTTTCTTGTTGCTCTGACAGAATATCCAATGAAAACAACTTGAAGAAGGAAGAGTTCATTTTGACTGACAGTTTGAGGGTATAGTCTGTTGTGGCTAGGGAGGCATGGTGACAGGAGCTTGAAGCAGTTTTTATATTGTGTCTGCAGTCAGGAAGCATAGGGAAATCAAGGCTGATATTCAGCTCATTTTCCTTTTTATTCAGTCCAGAATCTCAGGCTAAGGTATGGGTCATTCAGTTAAAGTGGACCTTCTCACCTCCATTTACCTAGTCTAGATAATCCCCCATAAGGCATATCCAGTAGCAACCCTAATTCAGAAACTCTCTTACAAACATCCCATGAGGTCTGACTCCTTGGCAATTCTAGATTCTGTCAAGTAGATGATCAACATTAGCCATCATACCTACCATTGATTGACCTAATAAAGACAGTTGGAGTTAATATCAAGACTCTACTCTGCATGGGTGTCCAAGTTCCCTTGCTCTTGCTATACTGCTGTGCCCTAGAAAATTAGCATCATCTGCATGGCCTGTACTAACTTACTACAACAACTAGATTCAATTCAAAATGTCCCACACAGGGGCTGGAGAGATGGCTCAGAGGTTAAGAGCATTGCCTGCTCTTCCAAAGGTCCTGAGTTCAATTCCCAGCAACCACATGGTGGCTCACAACCATCTGTAAAGGGGTCTGGTGCCCTCTTCTGGCCTGCAGGAATATACACAGACAGAATATTGTATACATAATAAATAAATATTTTAAAAAAAATGTCCCACACATTGTGACAAGGGCTCAAAAATCAAGACAAACTACAATGGTATAGTCATAATATCTAGTCTCACCCATGACATGTTGTCTTTGTCCATCAGTGAAGACCTAATTGACTGTACTTAACTACTAAGTCTGCTAGGAAATACACTAAGCAAAGTTATAATAATGGAAGAAAAGAAATACAGATTTAGTATACTCCTAAGAGTTTCTGCCACAACTCCTAGTTTTCAGTACACATCCAAGCCTTTATCTCTTCTTCAACCATAAAAGAAAAAACAAGAACACATCTCCTTTTTGGTTTGGTCTGGATTTGCTTGCAATATTTCTCAAAGTGTAGACTTTTTCAAAGCTTTTTTAAATTATTCATTTTTATGTCATGCATTTTAGTGTTTTGCCAGCATTATGTATATGCACCATGTAGGTGCTGGGTATTGAACCTGTGACTCTGCAAGAGCAACACATGCTTGGAACCACTGAGCCATCTCTCTTATCCCTCAAAATGCATACTTTTCAACAAGTATATAACATCTGCTTTAATAAATACACCATAATGTATTTTCCCATTCTTTTACTGCTGAACATTTGGATCGCTTCCAATATTTTGCCATTGGAAATAATCACATAAGACTTATGTCTTTGTGTTTATATACACATGTTGAAAGTAAAATAATTTCAGAGCAATAACACTTAAAGAGTCATCTGAAGATCAGTGAACTGAATATTCCTGGTTTGTGATGAGGTCAATACAGAAATTGTGAGTTTCTGTATTTGACCATATCAAATCGATGAGATCATGACATCCATGATCAGTGATTTTTTTGGCAGATGGGAAAGTTTTTCTAAATCGTATTTTCTATCACAGGCAGATATGTGCCCTAGTCATTTCACCGCAAAGCTAATAAATAACTATTTTTTTTTTTTTTTGGTTTTCGAGACAGGGTTTCTCTGTGGCTTTGGAGCCTGTCCTGGAGCTAGCTCTGTAGACCAGGCTGGTCTGGAACTCACAGAGATCCACCTGCCTCTGCCTCCCGAGTGCTGGGATTAAAGGCGTGCGCCACCATCGCCCGGCTATTCTTGAACCAAATCCGAGTAACCATGGTCCAGGAACACAGGCTCCAGTTGCCCTGAAAGATATGTTCCAATATGGAAAGATATATTAGATTTTATTAGTTTCGGGGCAAAGAAAGTCATACACCAAGGCATTTAGCAAATACATTGGTGGGTACCAGACAAAGGTGGGTTGCAGTAAAGCAGGGAAAACTCTGCTACAAGTGTATGATGTTATCCAGAACCATTCTAAGATTTTGGATTGGTGGGAGCTGGTGGTCTGCTAAGAATACATTTTAAAGGTCTTTGATCACAAAGATGTCAAACATGGGGGTGAGAAATGAGTAATTTTCAAAGATGTTGTTTTTTAAAAAATGCTGCAAGATCCCCGTGGCAGTAGGCAGCAGAAATGCTGTAGGTCCCAAATGGTGGTAGCGGGCCATGTGGCAGCAGACAGCTGTCCCAGAGCAGTGGCTGGTCCCAGGCAGGGAGACACATAGCAGGCGGGCAGGAGAGAGAGACATGGATAGAGACGACTTGCAGGGTGAGGTTGAATGTTTATTCAGGGGTTATGGAGGAGGAAGGGTGAAGGGGGGGACAGAGAGAGAGGAGAAGAAAGAGACAGAGAAGGGAGGAAGCAGAGAAGTGGGGAGAGAGGCAGAAGCGAAGCGGCCTCTCCGAGAGGAAGATGGAAAAGAGAGCAAGTTCAGGCTGGAAGCTGAAGATCAGCCTGCCTCAGCGAATGGGGGAGGGGGTGGATGTGGCTTGTATCTTAAAGAGACAGAAAACCATAACAAAAAGGACTAAAAATACCCAAGGTCTGAACGTTTTACCATTCCATAATTGGGATGGGCAGTCACTTGGTCTTGCAGACTCTTTAACACAGGTGTGATTTTTCTATTTTCTGGGAACTATTTTCAGTTTACTGCTTTATGGTTCTGGATAGTGGGAAGTCCCGGAGCAGGTGGCAAGAGCTTCATGGTGCCTTGGTTCATGGTTGATAGTGAAAGGGCCAGCACAAACAAGTACAGGAGAGAAAACACAAGAAGCAGCTTTACTTCATAACAACGCACTCTCACAAAAGTGAGAACTCACTCATGAGAGAAAGCCACGAAAGCCAAGTGTCTGTTCATAAGAGCTCCTCTCACGCACCCCTGTACACTTCCCCCACAAGGCCTATCCTCCCAACATTGCTAAACTGAGGAATTAGGATTTAAGCATATATTAATGATCTTTTGATCATGCAAATTGTGTTCATTCCGTATCAATAGTTCCAGGCTTAAATGATTCCAGCATTGGCTTAAAAGTCCCAGCTCTAATCTGAGACTTGATGCAATTTCCTTCCAGCGTCAGACCTATCGAACAAGAATAAGTGATTCACTTCTGATAGGCAATAGTGTGTGTGTGTGTGTGTGTGTGTGAGAGAGAGAGAGAGAGAGAGAGAGAGAGAGAGGACATCCCCTTTTCTGAAGGGAGAATACAACCAAGAGGAGGGAGTAAGGTGTAGACCTCAAGCAAGTCTACACCCAGAAAGGTTGACATCATCTCTGAAAACGAAGATAAACTTTAATTCCAGGTACCACTCTCTGGATACATTGGAGCAAAGAGGTAGATTCCTCCAGCTATAAAGAGCCCTGCCACTGTGGATTTGTGAGGCTCAGTTCATATAGTTGCCATCTTCGGTCAGAGCTGCACCCTGCTGTCTGCAGCTTTCTCAGTATGAGATAGTATTCCCACGGCTCTCGTAGGCATTGTTCTAGTGGTAGTTCCAGCCCTGCATCAGGTGCCTGCCTTGTCTGACAAGCAGTCCACTAGATCCTTTGTCATCTAAGAGGGGGCTGCCATGCCTCCATGACGCTTGGATTCTGTACACCTGCAGAATGAGAGCCACATGGGCTCTGCCAAGGCTCATTGCCTGTGCACTCTCGAGTGATGGTTGAATTGCACATGAATGCACCTGTACCACAGCTGAAAAGCAAGAAGCAGAGTCCAAGGTGGCCCTGGGCAGGGAGCCTACTCTTCCCTTAAAGGCTCTAATGCTGCTGGGATGGGAGGGACAACCTTCAAATCCTCTGAAATGTCTTTGTTCTGATGCATGGCACCTGGCTCTCTTCTCGCCCTGCTCATCTTTCTACTCACTGGTTGCTTGTCAATACTCCAACAGTACATCTCAGGGTCAGTTTGTTTCTTGTTTGTTTTATAGACAGGCTGCAAATTTTCCATTTTCAATACTCTGCTGATCTTTTAGTTGTCATTCTATTTCTGTCTTAGGTCAGTCCGTCCCACACTCGTCTTGCTGTAGGCAGTTGCATTAGTTACTTTTCTCTTTGCTCTGTGACTAAACACCCACCAAGAACCAGCTCAGGGGAGGAAGGATCGCCCTGCACTTCCAGATGGGCTTGTCACCATTAGAAAGGCAGGCTTGACAGCCAGCAGAATCTTGACGCGGGTGGGCACATTGCATCTGAAGTCAGAAGGAGAGAGAGAGAGAGAGAGAGAGAGAGAGAGAGAGAGAGAGAGAGAGAGAACAGGAGAGGGAGAATGGCGTAGCATTCAGCTCTGTCTCTCCTCTTGATTCAGTTCAGGACTCCAGCCCGAGAAATGGTGCCCCTCATAGTTAGCTCCTCAGTGAACCAGTCTAGAAGCTCCCTTACAGATAAGCCCAGAAGTTTGTCTTCTAAGTGTTTCCTATGCCCTGTCAAGTTGAGCATGAGCACTAACTGTCATAATGGTTAAAGGTACAACGCAGCTTCCTCAGCCTTTTCCTGCTTAGATATTTCAGGCCCTTGCATGTCCTAGCCATCCTTCTTAAGATACACCTCTGAAGGCCGGGTGTGCTGATGTGTGTCTGTAATCCCAGTACTCTAGAGACAGGCAAGAGAGCTGCTGCACATTTGAGCTCAGCCTGGTATACATAGTGAGCTCTAGTCCAGCCAGGGCAGCATAGAATCCTGAAAAAAAAAAAAAAAAAAACAGACAAATTCCGCCTTTCCAGAAGCCTGGACATAAGGGCATGAACACAATGCAACCAAATTATTTGCAACTGTGTAATAAAAATAACTGTTATTCTAGTTCTAAGTTAAGACTTCCTGTTTCCCACCTACCATCTCATCCGAATGGAGTTTATTTGTCCACGTTTCCATCAGCATTCTGGTCATAACCTATTGCAGCCCCTTCAGTGACCAGTGTCAAAGAATCTAAGTGAGTTTGAGATTCAGCAGAATCAGGGGACTCAAGACAATGCTGCTTCAGAGCCCTTTGCTGGGCATCTCTCTAGATTTTGTTCCAGGATAGCTCAGGGTTCAAAGCAGCAGGGACAGAGAAACAATGCTAAACATAGAGCGGTTCTCATCACTCTCACCAGGCGTGCTGAGGATGCAGAAGGTCACATAGCCAACTGGGGGCTGCTGTTTGTTAATGCCCTTGAGTGAGATAAGCTGGGTCGCGGAGGAAGGAGAGGAAACATCTTGCCTGTAGCATTCATTGGGCAGACCAAGCAAGGCATTCTTCCCAGGGGAGTACACAGATTCTAAGGGACTCAGGTTCGAACAGCAGAACAGCAAGGCTACAATAACCACTTGATTAACTTCTAAGATGATCCTGAAATCACTTAATCCTCTTGACCTAGGAACACTCATGAGAATTGCTATCAATGCTGTGTTTATGACCTTCTAGAATTTGCTTAGGCGTCTCCAAATTCCACACTTCTTACTGTGAGCTGCTTCCAAAGCCATGTCTATATATCTACAGTATATAAATAGCTACATATTTATAGCAATGCCAGGTTCCTGGCATCAATTGTGTGTCTCAGTTTAACTTCTCTTACTATCAAGAATATTTGAGACTAGGGAATTCATAATAATAAAAGAAACTTTTGAGTTCATTGTTTCAGAGGCTGGAAAGTCCGAGATCAGTGACCAGAATTAGTGAGAGCTTTATGTCACCTCCACTCAGAGGAGAAAGCAGAAGGGCAGATAGGAGTGTATACAAGAGGCAAAACATGAAGGACAGTTGTAGAGACAAAATGACAAAAAATAAAGGGGCTAAGAGTAAAGTGTATATCTCCCACTCTCCAGCAGTTTGACCCAAACCATACAGAGCTGACTGTAAACTATTAAACTACATAAACTATTAAAGTCTAACTTTAAAGCTCCTAGCTCCTCCCCCCAAATACCCAGTCTCAGGAAGGACAATGAAATTTACTACCTAGCAAGACAGTGAGTTACTCAATTCTTACCTATTTAAATATGCCCTCCCACAAACGGTACAAAAGCAAGGCTAGGTAATTTCTCTTTAACTGTTATAGCATGATCACACTAAGAATTCAGCTGCTGTGTTTCTCTGATTCTTTATTAAAATTTTTCTAGCTGGGCATGGTGTGGAGGCCCAAAACTGTGAGCTCATTTCCACGTTGACCAAAGGTCAGAGAGTTGGAACTTCTAGTTCCTTCAAGATTATTGTGTTTCTACCCCAAACAAAGTTCCCACCTAGGTGTAGATCAAAGAGTTCTGCTCTCTCAAGGTTATTTACAACACTGGTGGATAATAGTCAGACCTTGTGCTCCTGGAATAGAGAAGTAGATCTGTTCCTACCTCAAACAGAAGTCTTAGGATCCAATTAAGTTCCAGTTCCCTTCAGGAGATAACTTTGGATTCCACCCAGGGAGTGGTTTGTCTACAGAACGCTTTGGTCTAGGGTGTGAGCATGACTTGGTGACTTGTTTTGTTCTAGCAACAGAATGTTTAACTATAAATGTAGTCCGTGACCTTCAACTGGTCTGTTCATTTCCTTGTGTCGTGTTATCACGGTCATTTGTCTTACTCCTACCTTTTGGGATCGTAGTATTTTAAGCAATTGGAAAAATTAATTGCGGGTGAATTTCAATACTACCCTGGCAAGAGGTATTTTTGTTGTGGCTGGTCCCTGACAGCTTGATGGTGGTGCATGCCTTTAATCCCAGCACTTGGGAAGCAGAGACAGGCACACCTCTGTGAGTTCAAGGCCAGCCTGTTCTACAGAGTTAGTTCCAGGACAGCAAGGGCTGTTACACAGAAAAACCCTGTCTCAAAACAACAACTTTTCTAACAATTTTGGGGTGACATCTGCTTCTACCAGGACACCCGTTTTCAACAAAACTAATCCAATCCTGCAAGAATGAGAAGTCACTTGCATAGAGCATTCTAGAAGACCTCGCCTCTATAACCTAAACTCCCCCATGTGACTCCACCTCCCAATGCTGCCTTGTTTAGAAATCAAGGTTCCAACACACATAATTAGGATGCTCTGAGAACTCCTGACTTTACATTATGCCCAGGCCTTCAGTGGCAGTATTCTTGAACTTAAAGCTATAACATTATCTACTATTTCAATGAGTACCAAGGAAAGTCACAAACCACTCTCTTCATTTCTGGCATTGAGATAAAGGAAGAGCGGATTGAAAAACCCTCCAAACTTATTTAGCAATCCATTGTCTCCCTTCTTATTCTCAGTAACAAGTAGGTTGATCATGTCTAGGGCAATACAGAACATCAACAGTCTTGGGTGCTATCATGTTGACTCCACAAGGCTCAGTGTCTGGGCAAGAATCATTTGTAGTCTTATCTGACTATTTGGCTGTGGTTCAAAGGATGCACAGTACAGACAAAGAGAAGTTAGAGAGAATGTGTCACGAAATAGAAGCTGATACAGGGATTACTGTGCAGTAGAGACTGCCTGATGGCTCATAAACAAATTGTAGAATGCCAATGAGTCTGGATTCAGAGTTGAAGGCTAGTGTTGGCTTCCTCATGTAGTTCTCAGGTCTGATGACATTATTCAAAGCATCATTGCTCCCAAGTTAATTCCACGGCATGTTACAAATAATGTAAATGAAAAATAATCCTTAAAAAAATCTTAAAATTAGAACTACTATACAATCCACATTAACCACCCCAGAGTATATAATCAAAGGACTTTATGTGAGCATAACCCAAAAATACTCAAATATTTATGTTTATTGGTACACTGCCACAACCAAAATGTGGAATCAGCCTATATGTCCATCCACATAAAAATGAATGAGGAAAAGGAGGTACATATACACAATACATCCAGTCACAAACAAAAATGAAGTAAGTTCATTTATGAGAAAAAAAAATGAATGGAGAGAAGAGAAAGAAAATTAAGTGAAACCAGTTTAAGAAAAGTAAGCAAAACTCAGAAAGGCAATTATACTGTATTTTCTCTTACTTATGGCATGTGTGCATATTTACTGGGTTGTATATTATGTATAAAGTAGAAAGAGGGAATGTGTGGAAAAAGAAGGGGATCTAAAGAGAGAGTCAAGAATAACAGGGCAGAAGGTGGCAAGTTTCCATAGTCTCATTCATATGTGGAATGAGTGTGATAAAGAAAACTCTTCTTCAGGGCAATAGGCTTGGGAAGCACTTGGTTATCACATAGTTCTAGTTTGCACTGTGAACCCCAAAAGAGAACTACTGCAGGAGCTCCTTTAGCCAATAGCCTTTAAGAGACCAGCCCACTAGGGTGTGGTCTCTTAAAGGCTATTGATCAAAGGAGCTCCCACAGCAGAAAATGGAACTATACAGCTTCCCTAAACATTTGTCTGTGAATTAAAAAAAAAAAATGGGGCAGGCTTACAAGGTATGTACTGAAACCAAGGGTTTCTCTTCCAAAATGTTCATTTAAAGATCCAATGGAGAGCCCCTTAGCCTGGTAAGTCCTTGAAAATGGTCCCAGGCATATGTAGATGGTCACTATTAAGCCATGCATGCTTGTGTTTTTAAAAGGGGGGCGGAGACCTTAGGCCACATTCCTCGAGCTGTTTATATTCCATTGATATGTTACTTGATCCGAACATACTAGCTTTCCGGGGGGGGGGGGGGGGGCATTATTCCAAAGAGGCAGGTGACAGTAATGTGGACCATACTTCAGAAATCAAGAATAATAAAAGAGTAACCATGATAGATTCTTCTTTGGTACAGGGTGAAGAGGCTAGCATTCATATCAAATAACATTAACGCCATTAGTCATAGATTGGATAAATCCAACACTTAACACAGACTGAAAGAAAATCCTAATACTCCCTGCCATGGACTAGACTAACCTTTGCTGGAACTGAAGAAGGTATCAGGTGACTTACTAGGGAATACTGTACTTTCAAAGTCGTTGAATTCTGTGGGAATAGCTGAAGCAATTTGTTTCTGATCTTGAAAGAATTTCCCCCTTTGAAACAGTAAATCGGATCCAACTAAAGTTGGATGTTCTGGAGATGTTATTTATATTAGAAAAATAACGTGAAACATGTATATGAATGTAGCAAATATTCATATGGATAAGTGTCTACCTGCAGATGAAGATGGCCATCGTTAACTGCCTGGTAAGTATAAACAGAAGGAATAATATTTTAAAGAATTAAATACAAGAAGCTGGAGAGATAGCTCAGTGGTTAAGAGTACTTGCTAGCCGGGCGGTGGTGGCGTATGCCTTTAATCCCAGCACTCGGGAGGCAGAGGTAGGCGGATCTCTGTGAGTTCGAGACCAGCCTGGTCTAAAAGAGCTAGTTCCAGGACAGGCTCCAAACTGTCTCGAAAAACAAAAAAAAAAAAAAAACAAAAAAAAACAAAAAAAAAAAAAGAGTACTTGCTGCTCTTGAAGAGGCCAAGGGTTCAATTACCAGTATGCATATGGCAACTTTCAGATATATGTAATTTCAGTTCCAGTGGATCTGATGCCCTTTTCTGGGCTCTGTGGGCACCAGGCACATAAGGTGTCCACAGACATACATGCAGGCAAAACCTATATGCATAAAACTAAATAACAATAGTAATAATAAATGTAAAGAACAAAATAAGAGCATGGGGTAGCAATAGTCTATTTCTACACAAATGTTTTGGTTGTGTGTGCACTTGAATGTTCACGAATGTGTGACTATGAGTGTGGGAACCAGAGGACATCGTCAGTTGTAGAAGTCGACAAGTCCAGAGTCATAAGCATTGACATGTTGGCTTTGAGGTGTTGGTGAGCTATTTTAGGGTAACTCTGTTACCATGGCACTGTTGACCTCTTGGATGGCATTCTTCTTTCTTGAAGATTGGAGAGAACGGTCCTATGCATTTTAAGGTGTTCCACAGCATTTCAACCTTGCTGCTGCATGGCCAGTAAGGCCCTCCCTTGTGTGCAATATATAAAAGAAAAACATATACTAACTCCTTAGCATGGAAGTCTGTATCTGATGGCTATATGTTACGAGAGTTGCCTCCTTTTGCCTTAAAACATGTTTTGAAACTACAAGAGAGGGCTATGCATGGTCTCTTTCCACTGACGTGGCTACATTGACTAGGAGAGAGAAGGAGAAGTCATTGGGCATGACATGCGGATGCTTCTGCAGATGCAATGTCTACTAGTCTGGATCGACCTAAGGGGCTGCTGTTTTTACATCCAGTCTGCAAAGCCCGTTTGTACTCACAGGTTACCATACATAAACTGAAAACTCTCCAAAACATCACGAAGGCCTTTGTAAAGACCACATCTACAGTGAAAAGTATGGGACAAGAAACCTCTCAGACTCAGGACTCCGTCAAGGGCATCCTCAAGTTCATCACATACCTGCCTCTTCCCATGGACGATAGATAGGGCTTTACAAAACTGAAGGGGGGGCTGGGGTCAGTCGGTAAAGGCCTTCCTAGAATGCACAAAGGCTATGCACAAACGTTCTATCCCCAGCATCACGTAGACTAGATGTGCTGGTACTGGCCAGTCACCCTAGCACTTGGGAGGTGGAAGCAGGAGGGTGGGAAGCTCAAGGTCACCTTCAGAGTGAGGTAGAAGCCAACCTGAGCTACAGGAGACTAGTGTCTCCAAACAAACAGATTCAGATAAATATAGACGAAAATCAAGGTACACTACCATCAGATCAGAGTGTCTTCCTTTCATGGTTACCTTATTTGATATATTGGAAGGGGTCTTTTTGTCTACGGAGACTGGTAAAATGGAGCAACAACCTAGGGTATTCAGGCTTTATTTCCCAGAGAGATCTTGCCACTCTCACTAATCAATACCAAGCACTACCAGAAGATGGCAGTACAGGTCCGTCTGGCGCTCCGGCTTTGGGCTAGCCAGGAGCTCAGGGTGTGGTATCTTCAGTGTGGAATCTGAAACCTGGCCCCTCACCTGCCTAAGAAATCTGCGTGAAAGCCAAATTCCCCGTGAATCAGCTCGCTCCTAAACAGAGCGCTGGTTGGGAAGGTGGCTCTACACGGTCAGCTGTGCAGTCTACGTGGAATCAATTCAGGCCTTAACAAGTAAACTCAAGTGCGAATTTTCGATTGGCTCCTGGTGATGTCACTTGCTGTGGCTGGAAGGCTGGGAGAACTGGTTTTCTAGGTGTGGGGAACCTTTGTTCTCTGCAACACCCACCTGGACCCCGGGGCCTCTCTGGGAGGCCAGGGCCTCCACGGTAACCGAACACAGTACACACATAGCTTTGTCCCAGCACACCCAGAAGGCCTACTAAGAACTGCAAGTGCAAAGCAAGGGTTAGGCAAAAATTCACTGGCCAGTAATGGATCTCACCTTGGCTTCTTGGGACTCAATCCCGGAGTAGTTTTAAGCCACTCTCTTGATACCGGTTCTGCCCCCCAGGTCCTGGCGGGCAGGTCCTGAGCTGGTTCTGAGAAACCCGAGAGGTTCCAGGCATTCTGTCTTGACTCCTGGGTTCATTTAATCCCCTCACCCACTAACCATTTTAGATTCCTTCCACCTTGGGCACGTTTAAAATAAACGGCAAACCTTAACAAGGCAGCCTTAGGCAAGGGCGAGAAGAATAGAAGCCTGATTGCCACACAGTAGCAAGCAAAGTCTTTTTGTGTCCACCCCACCTCCACCGCTGCCCCAAACTGTCACGATTTACATTGTTCGCAAAAGGTCAGCTTGATATTTGCTTTGTCCCTTTCTGAAAGAGCATTTGTGTCTGATTGTCTTCAAAGACCTGCAGGTCTTTAAGAGGAAGTCCTGTGGCTTTTTTTTTTTTTTAACTTTTGCAGGACCTGGCCATTGTTCACACCTAATCCCTTTAAACCTCCACAGCTGAGGGGGAAGAATTCATGGTTTCCACGCGCAGCTGGTGCTTCACACTTGCTTTCGGACCGGTCAGCAGTGCCCCAGGCGAGCCTGGTGATGTGCCATTTCCCCTGGCCGCACTGATAGTGCCATTTCCCCTCCACCTCGATAGTCTAGTGGCTGCAGCTGAATTCGCTGCTGCGTCCCAGGGTTTCCCTAGGTAGTTAAACTAGCTAGAGCCTTCAGAGGTAGGTGGTCAGCGTTCCAAGAGGAGGGAATGGTTGTGCGGGTGTGGTAGAAAGCCCAAAGCTAGTTGAGGGTACACCGAGCTGACCACACCAGGGTGGCCACCCGCTCAAAAGCGGGGTGAGCTTCTTTGCTCCCCTCTGCTATCTATCAAGGAAAATAAAACGTTCCCGGATGGTTTTTCCTAATGGAGGGCTAAACCTGCGGAGAAATAGTGGGGTGAGGAGAAGCCCTGTTTGGTAGCGCTTGCCAGTTTCCCTTGCCCTCTCCTGGAGGGCCAGTCTCTTTCTTGCCCTATCCAGGCTTTGGCTCTCTTCCTTGGCTCCCACACCTGGCTCTTAGCACTTCCCCTATGATTGTGACTCTCTGAAAAGCTTTCCGCCTTTCCCCTAATCCCTAAGGATAAAATGAATACCTCTGTCACTTTTTTTTTTTCATCTCTCTCCACCCCCGTACTTCCTTCTTCTCGAGATCACAGCAAAATTACTAGATTTGGAATGTATGCCTGTGGGAATAAATGAAGGGGTGATTGAAAGCTGCCCTTAGCAACAGCAAGGCAATGCCTCGCCACCAGGAATGGGGTGCCAACCCCTAAACGCCGCAGAGCAATGTAAAGCAGCTTTTTTTTCTTTTTTTTTCTTTTTTCTTTTTTGGTAGCGTAGGGGCTACCCAGCCCTACAGCAAGGCATCCTGGGATCTGAAGCGGAAACCACAGCTGGGTGACAAAAGCAGCCCTCCCCTCAGAGACCAGCTGTGCCTGTTAGCATTTTCTTTGGTAAGGAAACAGGTGATGGATGAGTCCCAGGAAGCACAGACTGCTGCAGGCATCTTGGTTTCAGTCAAGCTCCTAAGTGGATTCGGGCCCTTAGACCAGTTGCTTGCTTACTCTTCTCGTTTATCAAGTGCGAGAAGCCTTGGGCTCGGCTTACTACTAAGACGTTTGGGAAAGGAACAATAGATGTGGGAGCAGGCTTTTTGAGTCCTGCCACATAATCCATGGCCAGCAGATGTGCCCACGTGCTAAGAAGGGGCAGGGCCACTGGGAAAGTTCACATTCTCATGGGAAGTGAAAGTGAATCACGTCGCCGTTTCTGTCATGTGACAGCTGTGGGACACGATCAACTCACAGAGCGGCTGCTTCCTGGAGCCAGGTGGTGGCTCCTACCTATAAATTCCACCAACTGGAGGCCCGAAGCCTGCCCGAATTATAAATCAAGACCCTGTCAAATAAAAGAAAATAGCGGAAAGGGGGTGATGAGAGGTTTTATTTAGTGACATCTCCACTGTCACTCACCCTGTTCTAGCAGCATTCTTTCTCCCCAAACCCCAGGATTTCAAGATGGCAGAAGCAGCTGGATTTGCATTGGATGTCACCGAGCATCTTTCCTGTGCTTGTGTGCACACCTCTTTTGATTTTTGTTTTTGTGAATTACCTTCTCAAAAATGTATTTGTTTGTATTACTGGACCTACATTATTTTTCCTTAGAGTATCTCCTTAGGTAGCTATCACATAATACTCCTTTCTGCCCCAGCCTCACAAGCGCTAAAATTATAGCCATGTACCACCTTGTCTAGTGATGGGTAGACACTGTCCTTTTGATCACATTTTGGGTAAATTCTATATCAGATATACATTTGCAAATATTCCTTATTCCATAATTTTATATTTTTTCACCAACGCCTTTTTCAGGAGCGGAAGTATTTGATTTTGAAACTGAACTTTTCAATGTTTTCTTTTATGGGATGTGACTTCAGTAACAATTTGCTAGCTTGCATGTGATAGTATATTCCTATAATCTCAGTTTTTTCAGGGTGGGGAGGCTGGGGCAGGGAGATCACAAATTCCAGGCTAACTTAGGAGACAGAGAGTAACCCTATGTCAAAAACAAATAAATGATACTACTCCACACACAAACAAAGGCAGAACTATTAGTCTAGTGGGTAGTCGAAAAGATTCTCTGTTATGTTTACTTCTATAAGTTTTGTGATGTTATGTTTATGTGTGCAATGTATTTGTTTGTAAATTTTCTTTATTCTTAAGAATGTTACATGTGTATACAACGAAATGTCCCATTTAGGCCCATTTCTCCCTCCACATTTCCCCGTATCCTCTTCAATTGCTCCCCTACCAGCTCCATATCTTTTTTTAAAAAAATAACTTACCAAGTGCAGTTGGTGCTGCCCATCTGTATGAGTGCGGGGACTCCGCTAGAGCACTGGAAATCTGCTTGTAGCCACATCCTAAAAAGGAATGAGTCTTCATCCCCTAGCAACTATCTACTGTCAATAGTTTCTCCGTACGAAGTGGAGCCTGGAGATGGTCTGCCCCCCCTGTGGCAGGACCGTGCAGCTAACCACAGCTGTGCAGGTTTATGACCGCACTGGTCGTCAAGTCCAGAGGACCGTGTGTCACAGCGCCCCTCCGCATCTTTGTACAGTCTGTCTGCTGCCTCTTCCTTGATGTTCACTGCTTGAATTTATTTTTTATATATATAGTATAGGGTATGGATTTAGTTTATGAATATTTATATACCTTGGATTTCCTGAAAATAGTACAACTAATACATACTATCATTTTTTTTTTAAAAAAAAGAATATCAGAATAGTGGCAGTTTAATATTTTACCAAGCCCAGAGCCCTCCTAAGCTTGGGTGCTGAGCCACTATGTAAGTGACACACTTAGGAAGCCACTCCTGGGCAGAATGAGCATATGTATTTTAGCAGTTTGGCTCCAGACTTTTACAGGAATACCCTTTGGCTGCTTGGTAAACGTTGGGGAAGTTGAAAGTAGGGTAAGGCAGCGCTAGACTAGAGAGCACTGTGGAAATGGAGACCTGTGGAGGAATTAGGAGGAAGGAACGCTAACCCCTCCTGGCTAAAGTGCTGCTAACTTAGAGGAAGTGGAAGTGCTATCACATAGTACTGGCTGCAACCAGTGGCCCCAGAAGTCCTTCTTTGTCCTGCTTTTTGGGGCAAGAAGTACTGCTAAGTTCCGAAGCAAGGGGTGGCCAAGACACAAGTCAGGGAGGTAGCCCTAGGGGGCAGTGTGGATCACAGCTGGTCATAGCAAGGGCCCCTAGGAGAACTTCCCAGGGGTGGATGAAGGAAGCTGGTGGAGTAGAGATGGGGAAGAGGACACATGGGCACACACTGGAGCCAGTGAAAATGGCTTCGGCCTCTGCTCTGGATATAGTGGATGGGGAGGAAGGAACATAATCATACATACTGCTGCCTTGTATCTTTGTCTGGGAGAAGATGGAACCTGTCTGGGGTATCATCCATGACTTACAGGTTATGTCTTTCACATGGCAATGACAGTCACATTCTTCTGGAAATAAAAAGTCTTTGGAAAAAAAATAAACAAAAAAATAAAAAAAAAAAAAAAAAAAACCCCCCCCCCCCCCCCCCCCCCCCCCGCACACACATACAATACCAATTGAAGTTCCTTAAAAGAACAGATGTTAGTAGCCATAAACTCAGACATTTCTCAATTTGGTTTTCCCCCCAAATATCCCCTTTTGATTTTCAGAGGCATAATCAGTTCTCTGCTTCTGTTCCTTGCATATAATTATATCACATAATAACAATAACAATGGGAAATGCTGACAGAAACAAACAGTGCAATTAAGCAAAACAAAATCAGAAAGAAAATTAACTTTGCAAATAGCTCCAAGACTCTTTTCTCAAGCTAGATAGGAGACAAGGGTGCAGAATATCACAAACGCAGCAGCCAGGTTTCAAGTCCCAGCTCCTAGTTACTAGCATGTCCAGGATTTGAGGCATGTAGGTAGCAAAGTTTCCTTCATAAAGCATGGGTAATCTCCATCATCATACAATCTGCTTCTGAAGGTGAGACAAGGGATGCTTTAACTAGCCTCCTGAGTACAGTAAGCAGACCATAAACATCAGCCATTATCCTGTCCTCCAGGTTTACTACATTGACCTTCAACGACTTTCAGCAGCATCTACATATACAACTATCCCATTATTATCGTATTTATCTTTTTCCAAGGTGGATGGAAGACACCATAAATGTCAGTTTGGGTCCAAGCATCATGACTTCCCTAGAAGCCTAGAAAGAAGGGATCATGCCCTTCCATTCTGCTGCCGATATTACCAAGAAGATCTCTGGCAGAATGTGGGAAGCCTGAGGCCACTCAAAAAGAGCAGCAGACCCATGTCTATACTTTTGTTTTAAAAGATCTCTCTAAACTAACAAGTCTACCCTTCATAATTTAGGGTTCAAGTCCTGCAGTCTCAGTTCAGTTACTTGCTTCGTTGTCAACAAGCATCATTGGTGGTGGGTGGATGTTGCTGTTGCCTAGAGACACCAACCACTGTTAAGACTTAGCCTACCATCGAGGAGACCTGACCCAACAGGGAGAGGGCGAGCAAATCAACAGCACATGGCACATTGCCTGGTCCATAGCGGGCTCTTGGAAATGCTTTGCTGAATGAGACCACGCAGAGTTCCCCAGTAGGGCGAGGCTAAGATTGTGCTTCACGCTTGGAACCCATGGGCTTCCTTTCATCCTCCATGCCATCCAGCTGTACAAGGCAGGGAAGCAGGAATGCATGGCTCAGAGGAAGAGAGGGGAAATAGCACCCCTTCCCTGGGGCTTCACTTCTTTTGCCAGCCTCCCCCTTCCACGTGAGTCCCTCCCTTACAGCGCCCTTCTTCAGCACCTCATTGGCATTCACTTGGGGCAGGCGTAGAAGAAGTCTGTGGAAACTTCCTTCTACATAAACGGCTAGCTGAGAGGGCTGGCTGAGAGATGATGAAACCATGGAAACCGCAGACCCTCGCCTGTGGGGCCACCAACCCAGAACCCTTCTGCTGAGCTTGGGACCTATTTCTGGCCTCACTGTTTGCCTAAAGTCCTTGTACAAATCACTTATCATATGCCACATTTCCTCACTTACAGGGAAGATGCTGGCTGTCTAGTGTCACCCTTCCATGGCTTTCTGGGCCATGGGGCACGAATGAGTTAACAGAAACAAACTAATGAAAAATGAACAAAACCAAACACTTCGATGAATGTGCCCTTGTGCAATGGTGCAGCCTGGTAGCCAGGGCCTCTACTTCAAGAAACTTCTCACAGAGTATTTGGACACACACACACACACACACACACACACACACAC